TTCCATGGAGATGTGGGCCTATAGGATATTGTCTAGTAGTGGAATCTATAGGCTATTCAGTGGGCCTATAGGATATTGTCTAGTAGTGGAATCTCTGGGTTGTAAGGTTCCACAACTTTATGAGATACTGCCAAATTGCATTCCAAGGTGTGAATAGCATGTAAAGGCTCCCGTTTCCCCACGTCCTCACTAACATCTGACCTCATAAAAAACATTGACATATTTTATTTTTGTATAGTTGATGTATTTCAAATCATACAATTATTTTTATTTACATTTCTCAATTGGCTTACTGGCCATTTGAGTTTCTTCTGCTGAAAATTCCCTATTTATATCCTTTGCCCATGTTTCTTTTCTTTTGTAGGGGTGAGGGTAGGGATGTCTTTTCCTTAACGGTTTGAAGGAGTTCCTTGAGCACCAATCCTTTGTTATATATGTTCTAGATGTTTCCTCCCAGTCTGTAGCTTATCTGCTAATCGGATTTACCATGTCTTTTGTGCAGTGGCATGATCTCGGCTCACTGCAACCTCTGCCTCCAGGGTTCAAGTGATTCTCCTGCCTCAGCCTCCCGAGTAGCTGGGATTACAGGCATGTGCCACCACACCCAGCTAATTTTTGTATTCTTAGTAGACACAGGGTTTCACCGTGTTGGCCAGGTCTCCATCTCTTGAGCTCATGATCTGCCTGCCTCGGCCTCCCAAACTGCTGGGATTACAGGCGTGAGCCACCACGCCCAGCCTGGCAGTTTAAATTTTGAGGTAGTCACAGATCATCTTTTTCCTTTATGAGTAGTGTTTTATTATTGTTTATCTAAGAAGTCCTTTCCCACCCCAAGATAATAAATATAACATGTATATGTCTTAAATATTTGTTATCATATTTATTTAATCCATTTAATTAGGCATCTATTTTTCAACTCTATGGAAAGTAAATTTCTCAGTGCCATTTACCGAGTCCTCTATTTTTTCCCCAGTGATTTTTTTTTTTTTTTTTTTGAGATGGAGTCTGGCTCTGTCGCCCGGGCTGGAGTGCAGTGGCCGGATCTCAGCTCACTGCAAGCTCCGCCTCCCGGGTTTACGCTATTCTCCTGCCTCAGCCTCCCGAGTAGCTGGGACTACAGGCGCCCGCCACCTCGCCTGGCTAGTTTTTTGTATTTTTTAGTAGAGACGGGGTTTCACTGTGTTAGCCAGGATGGTCTCGATCTCCTGACCTTGTGATCCGCCCGTCTCGGCCTCCCTAAGTGCTGGGATTACAGGCTTGAGCCACCGCGCCCGGCCATCCCCAGTGATTTATAATGCCACCTCTATTGTACATCAGGTACACACACACGCACACACACACACACTCTCTCTCTCCTGTGTCTGTTTTGAAGCTCTACTCCTCATTGGCTTGGTAGGCAGAGAAGTGTCTCCTTGCCCCAACATATACACATTGTTCTTTTGATTTTGACAAGATTCCTCAAAAATCCTGATTGGACTGGGGAAAATACACGTCTTTCTGATATTGAGCCTTCCCATCCATGAACATGTATATTATTGCATTTATTTGATGTCCTTTCATAATATTTTGTAATTTTCTCTATGAGAATATAAACTCCATTAGGGCAAATGCTCTGTCAGTTTTCCTCTCTGCTGTATCTTCAGAGTCAAGAACAGAGCAGGACACAGAGTAGATGCTTCATAAGAATTTGTTGTTTAACGTCTTTCATATACTTTATGAGATCTGTTTCTACATGTCTTATATTTCTGTTGCTATATATTTTTATTGTAGTTTCCAATCAGCTATGGTTGGTATATAGAAATTCAAATGTCATTTTTGGGTTGATTTTTTTTTTTAAAAAAACCTTTAATTTGTTCTAATACTCTGTAGATTCTTTGGATTTTTAAATGCAGACAGTTCTGAGGGACATCTATTTCAGAAGAAGAGAAGAATGGATATTGTGTAGGCAACTAGCAGCATCTTCCACACTACTACTGTATGAAGCTAGAAGAGTCAGGTACTCTAGCCCTGGCAGCGTTTGTGGACTTTAAATCTGAAACAAATAGTACAACAAAGCAGGTGTCTGTTGAGTATTCATTTGGCCAATTCCAGTACTAGTAGTAGTATCTATTGAGCACAGGTGCCAGTAAAAGCAACAGCATCCAGTGCTATTTGCAGCAGTCATGTCAGTAGTGGTGTCTGATGTCCAGTAATAATCAGAAATGGCACCCCAATCAAAGTTTCTGCAAACTCTGATTTTGACCATAATTTTGATCAGCTAGACTCCCTGAATTCCTTCCCCATTTTTTGATTCTGATTTCCAACAACTCTGTGACTCATTCAATATCCTACCAATGAATTCCATTTCTATTTCAGTTAATCAAAGATAGTTTTTTTTGTAACCAAGAATTCTGAACAATTAAACTCTCATGTTATCTGCAAATGATAACTTTGTCTCTTTCTTATATATGCATTCAAATAATGAAATGCATAGATCTTAAGTTTTCAGTTTAGTCAATTTTGACAAATGCGTATACTCAATATAACCCACATCTTTATTAAGAGAAGGAAATCCCCATCACTCCAGAAAGTTCCTTCATCTCCTTCCCAGTCAACCCAACCTCAGTACTTTAAAAAAAAAAAAATGAGCTGGCTGGGTGCAGTGGCTCAAGCCTGTGATCCCAGCACTTTCGGAGGTCGAGGCAGGTGATCACGAGGTCAGGAGTTCGAGACCAGCCTGGCCAATATGGTGAAACCCTGTCTCTACTAAAAATACAAAAATTAGCCGGGCGTGGTGGCATGCACCTGTAATCCCAGCTACTCGGGAGGCTGAAAAAGGAGGATCATTTAAGCTCAGGAGGCAGAGGCTGCAGTGAGCCGAGATGGTGCCACTGCACTCCAACCTGGACCACACAGCGAGACTCTGTCTCAAACAAGCTACAATGAGCTATCGCTGTAGTCACTAAAATGAAAAAGATGGACAACATCAAATGTTGGTGAGGCCATAGACCTTAAGAATTAGCGGCTGGGATAGCAAAGGTGACTGGCCGCGTTACTGACTGACCAAGTGACCAGGTGACTTAGTGAATAACTTCTTTAAGTAAGGAAACTCAGTAAATTACATCTGGTAAATTACATTTACCAAAAGCTGACAACTTTTCAGACTCAGCGCTCTTAGTTTAAGGGAAGTGCAGTTGGAGGCGGCGGGGGGCAGAGGCAGCCAGCCTCAGAACGAATAGCCCCAGGGTCGCGGAGAGGCGGGCCTGGGAAAGAAAGGTTGAGGAAGCCGGGGGACCTAGGCTGCCAGGACACCCAAGAGCCTCCAGAGGCTCTAGTGGATCGGAGTCTGCGCACTCCGCCGAGAGCGTGCCTTTGGCTCACCCAATCAGAGCGGCGGATCCAGCCGCTTCTCTGTCGCCTTGGCAACGGGACGCACAAGCACGCGCTGCGAGTGGTGGCGGTTTGGATCTGGCCCGTGGGGAATCGCGTTATGTCGCGACCCAAGGTAGGAGTCAACCTGACCCAGATGCTTTTATCGTCCCTAGAAAAAGGGAGGAAAGCCGCAGAGGGATTCAAAATCGGTTGGGGATGGGTGTTCCCCGCGGAATGGGTAGCGGGGTGGGGCGGGGAGAGGGGGTGGTGTTCTTGCGGAGGAATTCCGGAAAAAGGAAGAAAAAAAGTCAACGAACTTAGAGGAAAGACTACAACTCCCGGCATGCACCGCGCCGCCCAAGCTGCTGCGCAAGTCCAGCGAGCCCGGCCAGCTGGGGGGAAATTTACACAACAGTGGGATTCTAAGCTCCGTGACCCCTGGGGAAGTTGAACCTCAGAATTTCAGATTTCCTGATTTGGCGAAGCCCGCCTGCCCGTCCATCCATCCATCCATCCATCCATCCATCCATCCATCCATCCATCCATCCATCCGTTTATCCATCCATTCAAAACAACGCTAATTAGTGTCTTTTACCCCATCAAGCTCATTGCTGGTCAAGGGACACAGGTGAATCAGACAAACCTCTGCCCTCTAAGAGGGCACAGACCAATTCCCCCGTTTTAAGAATGGGAAAAATGAAAGTCGAAGAGGGAAAATGAATTACTGTAAAAACCGCTCTCCCCACCCCAACCCACTTTTTTTTTTTTTTTGAAACGGAGTCTCACTGTGTCGCCAGGTTGGAGTGCAGTGGCGTGATCGCAGTTCACTGCAGCCTCTGCCTCCCGGGTTCAAGCGATTCTCCCGCCTCAGCCTCCAGAGTAGCTGGGACTCCAGGCGCACGCCACGACGCCCAGCTAATTTCTGTATTTTTAGTAGAGACGGGGTTTCACCATGTTGGCCAGGATGGTCTCGATCTCTTGACCTCGTGATCTGCCCGCCTCGGCCTCCCAAAGTGCTGGGATTACAGGCGTGAGCCACTGCGCCCAGCCTCCATCCTACTTCTTAATCCCAGCTCTCATTCATGAGTGGAACCTTCATTTATCTTCTTTCTTTCCTTTTTTTTTTTTTTTTTTTTTGAGACGGAGTCTCGCTCTGTCGCCCAGGCTGGAATGCAGTGGCCGGATCTCAGCTCACTGCAAGCTCCGCCTCCCGGGTTTACGCCATTCTCCTGCCTCAGCCTCCCGAGTAGCTGGGACTACAGGCGCCCGCCACCTTGCCCGGCTAGTTTTTTGTATTTTTTAGTAGAGACGGGGTTTTACCGGGTTAGCCAGGATGGTCTTGATCTGCTGACCTCGTGATCCGCCCGTCTCGGCCTCCCAAAGTGCTGGGATTACAGGCTTGAGCCACCGCGCCCGGCCTTTTTTTTTTTTTTTTTTTTGAGACGAGGTCTCACTTTGTTGTTCAGGAGGGAGTGCAGTGGTGTGATCTTGGCTCAGTCGACTTCCTGAGCTCAAGCGATTCTCCTGCCTCTGCTTCCCAAGTAGGTGGGATTACCAGTGTGTGCCACCATGCTCAGCTAATTCTTTTTTAGTTTGTGTAGAGACAGGAGTCTCTATGTTATGTTGCTGTGTTGCCCAGGCTTGTCTGGAACTCGGCCTCAAACCATCTACCGCCTTGGCCTCTCAAAGTGCTGGGATTACAGGCATGAACCACTGCACCTGGTCAGCCTCTTATTTCTTTAATTCCCTCTCCCAACAAAAAGTGAGTTTATCTGCTTTCAGAGTGCCTTGAACTTCGCCTTTTTACTACAATTCATTACTCATGTGACTATTTGTTTAACATCTGTCTTCCTCGCTGCTCTGGGATCTAATCTGACTTGTTCTTCTCCATATTCCCGGTCCTCAGCACAGAGCTAACTACAGTTGATACATATTGAATGACTGTTGAACGACCTACCTAGATGCTCAGCTAAAAAACTGGGACTGTTGGCTCCTCCATCTTCCTCACATCCCACATCCAATAAAAGCCTCCTTCCTCTAACTTTCTGAATATGTCTTGAATTTATTTTTTCCTCTACCTCAACTACTATGCTAATCATGACCAAACTCTCAAATTTTAAAAATTAATACTCTTTAAACACACAGATTGGGACACATATAACCTTTTTTTTTTTTTTTTTTTTTTTTTTTTTTTTTTTTTTGGAGACAGGGTCTCATTCTGTTGCCTAGGCTGGAGTGCAGTGGCATGAACACGGCTCACTGAAGCTTCAACCTCTTGGGCTTGAGTGATCCTCCTGCCTCAGCTTCCTGCGTATCATTTTATAAAAATATTATTAAGAAAAAAGAAAACAAACATCTACTGAAATAGTCCCTTCCCATGAACCCAACTGATTCCTTTGAAAGGAAGGACGAACTGCAGGTTGCTGAAGAATGCACAAACTCTTAGCAGTCTACACTGTGAATATAGTTTAGACATGGGTGTAGCAGACCACGTTGGATGAAGGAAAAAAATAGTGGACTACTTCTTTGTGAAACGATGAATTTTGTTTTTGTTGTTGGAAAGGGAAACAAAGGTCTCCTATATATTGACTTAGGACTTTGCGGTTTCTTTCAAATGACCCAGGGGAAATAGGAGTATGAATTTATTTGAACAGGATCATTCATGTCAGCCTTAAGAGAACATGCCGGGATATACTTTGTGTACTCTCACAAAAACATGCCCAGAGAAGGCCAGAAGTCAGAATACTATATGTTCCAACCATTGACCTCATCTCCTCAAGGTGATGGTCGCCAAGACCTCAGCTCCAAGGCATGCTGGGAACTCTTCAGAGGGCTAAGGGGAAATGAGGAATTGGATCAGGCAGGAATGAAACTGGGGTTAGTGGAACCAGCTAAGCAATGAAGCTGATCTCTGGTTAGATGTTCAAAGTCTAATCACAATGAGTAGGCTGGTGTGGCAAACTGGTTTCAGCATGACTGTCTCCACCTGGTGGGTAGTACCAGGGAGCTCAGAGCAGGACTCCAGGAATAGAGCCAGGAATGAAGGCAGCTGGCAGTGTCACAATCCTATGCTCTTTTTGACTCAACACCAACTGGTGCCATTCATGCTACCCTCCATGAATGGCACCAACGAGAAATAAAAGTTCTCTGTTTGTAGCCCATACAAGCAACCAAGCCACTTTTGAATCATTTTCTCAATAAGATCATTTTTAAAAAAAATTCTTGTAGCCTTATCTTTTCTAAATGCATTATTTTAGTGGTTTGGGGAAAGTTTATATCCCTGGGCTGTTTTTTGGGTCAAGATAGTAATAGGACTTCTATCTCAGGCAATATGACAGATGAGATTTCTTGAAAAGCTTATTAACACAACACACTTAAAACTGTTGGCCAAAATATAACAGACATCCTTTGAACTGTGTAACTGACCTGCGTATGTGGAGGGGCAAGGATTGGTAGAAGAAAAATCCCCAAGGGACCACCACCCTAACACAGACACACAGACACACAGGCACACACACACACACACACACACACACACACACACACACACACACACAAGAAAAATAAAAAACAGAATTGTCACTAACTGATTCTTCATTCGTCATTTTCCTTGGGGAAGTCATTGATTGTCTCACAAACAGGAGTTGAAGTGTCATGGGGCCCACTGGGCAAGGAGTTGGAACTGAGACCTCACCATAAAGCTGGACCCTTCAGAGACCCCCACCCTTAGTAAAAGTGTAATTAGAACCAATTTACCCTTCAGCAGTGGGAGACAACTAGGAAGCTAGGCAGCTTCAGTGTAGGGGAAAAAACCTTTCTCCTGAGAAATCTTTTTTTTTTTTTTGTGACGGAGTCTTGCTGTCGCCCAGGCTGGAGTACAATGGCACCATCTCTGCTTACTGCAAGCTCTGCCTCCCGGGTTCAAGCGATTCTTCTACCTCAGCCTTCCGAGTAGCTGGGATTACAGGTGCTTGCTACCACCCTGGCTAATTTTTGTATTTTTAGTAGAGACAGGGTTTCACCATGTTGGCCAAGCTGGCCTCAAACTCCTGACCTCGTGATCCACCTGCCTCAGCCTCCCAAAGTGCTGGGATTACAGGCATGAGCCACTGCGCCCAGCAAGAATTCTTAACCTTAGATGAGTCCTCAGGCTAGTCTGAGAAATGCTAAATAAGATGTTACCATAAAGTTTACTGTTCTTGGGGGCCCAGGCAGATGTAAATGCTAAACATCTCGGAGTCAAACATCTTTGACTCCTATAATGGTCGAATTACATAATAATTACATAATAAAAGATGTTTTAAATGAATTATATAATTGCATAATTGTATAAGAAAAGATGTTTTAAGTAAGTTTAAAAAAAAAAGCCTGTTCATGATAAACCCTCAGAAAACCAGGGAATAGTAGGAAATTTACTCAATTTAGTACAGGAAACTATAGGAATCTACAGCCAGTATCATTCTTAAAAGCTGAAATAGAGAATGCATTCCTCTTATGATCAGGAGCAAGATAAGGATGTCAGCTGTTACCACTTTTAGTCAACTTTGTATATACTAGAGTTTTCACCAGTGCAATAAAGCAAGAAAACTAAATAAAAAGCGTAAATATTGAAAAGAAAGAAGTAAGTCTGCCTTTATTCACAGATGACATCATTGTATCCAGAGAAAACTCCAAGGATTTACAAACTACCAGAACTAATAATTCAGCAAGGGCATCAAATACAAGGTCAATGTACAAAATCAGTTATACTCCTATGTATGTATCAGTTTCCAATTTGTGACAAATTGTCACAAATTCAATGGCTTTTAAAAACACTAACTTATTATCTTACAGTTATTTATTTATTTATTTATTTGAGATGGCGTCTCACTCTGTCACCCAGGCTGAAGTGCAGTGGCACAATCTCGGCTCACTGCAACCTTTGCCTCCTGGGTTCTCCTGCCTCAGCCTCCTGATTAGCTGGGATTATAGGTGTGCACCACCATCCTGGCTAATTTTTGTAATTTTTAGTAGAGATGGAGTTTCACCATGTTGGCCAGGCTGGTCTTGAACTCCTGATCTCAAATGATCTGCCTGCCTCAGCCTCCCAAAGTGCTGGGATTACAGGCGTGAGCCACTGTGCCTGGTCCCTGTCTTACAGTTAATGAGATCAGAAGTCTGAAAGGGTTCTCGCTGGGCTAAAATCAAGGTGTTAGCAGGGCTGCCTTCATATCTGGAGGCTCTAGGAGAGAAGCCCTGTTTTTTGCCTTTTCTAGTTTCTGGAGACTGTCTCATGGTCCTCTTTCATGTTCAAAGTCAGTTCTCACAGTGTGTGACTGCCACTCTGACATTGACTCTGCCTTCTTCCACATTTAAGGATCCTTACATTGGGCCCACACAGAAAATACAAAATAATCTTTCTATTTTAAGGTTCTTTGATTAACAACCTTAATTCCATCTGCAATTTTAAATTCCCCTTGCCATATAATGTAACACATTGATAGGTTCTAGGGATTAGGACACAGACATCTTTGGAGATGGCCTTTTTCTGCTTGTTACAATTTACTATCATCAGGTAGAAAATGAAATTTGAAAATACTGTATCCAATAGCATCATAAAATTAAAAACCTAAGAATAAATTTAATTAAAAATGTACAAGGCTGCTATACTGAAAACTAGAAAATAGTGTAGAAAAAATTTTTTAAAACATTTAAATTAATGGAGAGACCATATTACTCATGGGTTGGAAGGCTCAGTACCTTATAATGTCACTTCCTGAAAATATCTGTAGATTCAATGCAATCCCAGTCAAAATCTCAACATGTTTTTTCGTAGAAATTGGCAAGCCAATTCTGAAATTTATGTTGAAGTACAAAGGACCCCTAATTGCAAAGACAATCCTGAAATCAGAATTTACTCTACCTGACTTCAGGATTTACTAGAAAGCTACAGCAGTAATTAAGCCAATGTGATAGTGACATAAGGATAGACAAGTAAATAGAATAAAACACAGTCTCGAGATAGATCCACATACACATGGTCAATTGAATTGTGACAGACGTGCCAATGCAATTCAATGAGGAGAGGAAAATTTTTTTAACCAAAGGCTCTGGAGCAACTGGATAAACATATGGAAAATGGAATTGAAAGCATGAGAGAGGATTAAAGATAAAATACAAAAAGACGAGGACAGCTTGACTAGTGTTGGGGGAGTTGGAAGGGCTTGAATGGAAGAATGAAAGAAGATTTCACTGTGTTTCAGTGGGGCTTGCTTCTGCCAGTTTTATAAAGCAGTATCCTCCACCCCTCTCCGCCGCTCTTTGAGGGGTAGGCTGGTGTGCTAAGCAGAATTCTAAGATGGGCCCCAAGATTCCCACCCCCTGGCGTACATGCCTTGTACAATTATCTCTCCTTGAGCATGGAGGAGTCTGTGAATTTGATGGTATGGTTACTATGGTGATTACCTTCCATTACTTAGGACTCCATCATAGGTGACTTGGAGAGGGGAGGATTGGAAGTCAGAGGGACGTGCTCCACGTGGCCTGGAGGAAAACAAACGTGCATGTTGTGAAGTGCCTATGGGGGCCACACTGCAGCTGCAGGCAGCCTCTAGGAGCTGAGAGCAGTCCCCAGCAGACAGCTAGCAAGTAAACAGGGACCTCCATCCTACAACCCCTGGCAACTGAATTCTGCCAACAACCTGAATGAGCTTGGAAGGGGACCCCAAGCCCCAGATGAGAGCCATAACCCCAGCCATCACCTTGACTGTGGCCTTGTGAGAGCTGAGCTGATGATGCAGCTAAGCCATGCCCACGCTCCTGGCCTATGGAAACTGAGATAATGGATTCCCATCATTTTAAGCCACTGATTTTGTAATAATTTGTTACCCAGCAATAGAAAATGAATGCAGATGGCAGGTCTGTCCCAGCTGCAAATGTCATCCTGCACAGGACCAATTTCGATTTCTCTCGTCATACGTGCCTTAGGGATTGGTCTTCCCAGGACAGAGGGCCAAGCTGTTTTGGACGTGGTTGAAGTGAAATAATACCCACCACCCACTG